TTCAGACTTGGCAGCATTGATTGGTGCATATACTGGTTCTTCTAGTCCTTGCTTCTCAGTCTCTTCATTGTATGTGCCGTCCTCATAAATGGCTTTGTACTTGGACAGTTCACCAGCCTGGTATTCTTTAGGATATGACACTGGACTCACATTGTTAGGTTCTTGTGATTTAGAGGACGGTTTGTTATAGACAACGTTAGGATAAGTTGATCTTGTTGGGGTTCTCTCACTAATAAAAGGTGCAGGAAGTCCAACTGCCCAGTTGAAATCTAGGGAGGAGAGATGCAACAGTTGGAAATTACATAGTCACCGTCTCCAAAAAAAAAAAAAAAAAAAAAAACCCCAAAAAAAAAAAAAAAAAAAAAAAACCACAAAAAAAAAAAAAAAAAAAAAAAAAACCCACAAAAAAAACCACAAATCTATTACCAGAAGAACTGTAGTGTGATGAGGGTTCAGGGAAATCCTTAGGGCCTTCTGAAGACACAGGGGCAACATTTGAATCTGAGCTGGGCAGAGAAGCTGCGCCTTTTCTTGGAACAGACGGTTCAGAGTACTTAGCTCTGTTTGGAGCAGCCTGGAAATTAGTTGGCTGTGAGGGACTTTTAGAGTAAGCTTCAGAATCTGAATAACCAGGGGACATCCCTTTCCATCCAGAAGCAGGGTTTGGATCATAACTCTCACCATAGGAGGGGCTGTAACTAGAACCTGAGGGATATGAGAGAGAAAAAAAAAAGTTAAGTTTGCATCAAAGTCTACCAAGATTTAAAACAAACAAACAAAAAAAACTTTTACCTTTCTTTGCAGGCCCACAGTGACTCCCTTCCAGCACTAAGAGGAGCAAAGCCCTGTTGAGAGACAAATAATCAATATAACAAACACTTAGACATTGCTCATAACCAACGACACAACCTTCTACTCACCCTGACACCACCAACCCAACCATCATGATCAACACCCAGTTCTGAACTGGCACTCAAACAGGTGATTATAAATGTGACAGATACCTGCCCTGACCAATGGGAACCTAATTTGTTAACGACTCACAGCTGCAGGAGTCAGGGCAGACAAAATGATCCTGTTTTACCTGCAGTGCACAATCAACCGCTTGTTCTTTTCTCAGATGTTAAGTTTATGGATAATGTTTTCCTTTGAAATTCTTTATGTTTCTAAGATTGGACAGTTAGACCTTGAGGAGTACGAATGTTTCAACCTGCATGTGTGTGGAATTTCTTCAAGTTTGTGCAAATAACATGCACATCAACTGAGTCCTAGAGCAACAACTAGTGGCTGGGTCATTCTGCCCGTTGGTTAAAAAAAAAAAATCTGATCAATTTTCACAAATGAGTTAACAAAAAGGAACAGGTTCATTTAGTCAGTTAAAGGCATGTTAACAACCCTAATAAACACACACACACACACACACACATTGTTAATTTCTGGAATCGTTTGGCAAGTTCAAAAGATCTAACTCATGGCAAATATTGAGATTTTTTTTCCCCCCTCAGTGAACAGAATTTAAATATGTTTCTATAGCTACTATAGTACAGCTGTTTCTTTTCACAAGATGATACAGAGGGGAAAAAAAACTGACCCAGCCCAGAAGAACGGAGAAGAACACAACCTGAAAAACTCATAACCTGCACAATTATACTAGAGAACTCAATGTGATCATAAAAGTGGCACATCCCTTCATTAAAATCTTGCTCTCTATACACAGCTTGAGACTGTGCCAAATGTGCCATGGTTCTGCATTGTGACGATTTCCGGCACTTCAGATGTGTATTTCCTGGCTTTCTAATCAGAATTCTATTTTGTATCTCAAAAGGAGCTCCATTCAGCCCAACATTAGCAGCCCTCGTCTCTCTGATAATGTGGATGCTTCGGGCCATAGGCCACCAGCTGCATCCACTTGTCACTCTTTGGTACAGATGCCCTGTCTGTCTGCTGTGGAGAATGAAACGTGGTCTAAATAGGCACTTATTGTGCAAAATGATTTTATGTACGCATTAAAATGTGCCTCATCCAATTCCTTAACATGGTTTAATATTATCTGACGACAGGCATCTCGAAAATTTAAAGTGATTTAAATGGAATTCTCCTGTCCTTCTTGTAATTTGTCATTCACCGGCTGATGAGACCAAATGCAAAGGCTATAGATCTTCGAATCCAACCCAAATAGTCTGAGGCAATTTATCCGAATCGGTTGGATTTTTCCCTGCATCAAAGTAGTTTCTCATACAAATCAAATGAAGAGAACTCAATTATGATGGATCAATAATTCAGCATTCTCAATTATGCTTTAATTGTAAGAAGCAATATCATCCAATCTTATTGTGTGGATAGGTGTTTGTTGTACTGCAGAGCTTTAGCTGATTGTTTATATGAGATTAGGGCTGCATATCAAGAAAAAGATCAGGCAATGTCACAGAGCCACGGATAGCCAGCAAGTGACACGTGCGTCGATACACTGCCGCACACACTCAGATACACACACACACCCTTAATGACACAAACACATAACATAAAGCCAAATGCTGCCACTAAAATTTGCATGGTGCTCAGTAATGCATTAGTGAACATCACTTGGCAATCTGTTCATACGGGCTTAATTGGATTTTAATACCGCCTCTGATCTTGTTTTCTAATTAACGGCGGTGGCTGGCAACCAAGCAGAACCATGCACCCAGCAACACCTTTGATCCCGGCCATATGGAGTTCCTCCAAGCACGCCGGGGATGTAAAAATCCCTTACCTAGACACGCCGCACAACAGGGCCCCCCGAATCAAAATGGATGGGGCGAGTACAGGAAAAAGGAGAGTGGAGAATGCAGGAG